TGAATTTTCTCTAAACTTTGCCAAAATGTTAATATTATTAGTAGAAGTGTAAATACAAATTATTATTATTGAATTTGATAAAATATTTTTTAAGTTACGGAGTTTCAAAATTTTGACTTTTTTGAAAAATTTTGTTTAGGGTTCCGTACCCGGTAGGAACCCTATTAAAACGGTTACGGAAAATGACCATGTACCCCCCCCCCCTATCGCTCACAGTTTTTCATCTAGAGCGCTAAAAATTGGTACACGTATGTATTTTCACGCGTAGATTACACAAAAAATATAGCGAACGTTATTGGAATTGATCTTCATAGAGTTTTCCGCGACAAACATCAAATTTTGTCCGTTTTTCGCAAAAAACATCAAATTTTGGCCGTTTTTCGCAAAAAAGGCATGTACCCCCCCTGGCGCTCACAGTTTTTTACCGAGAAAGTTGAAAATTAGTATGCATATGTATTTTCAAAAATGGATTTCAGGAAAAATATACATAGCGAACATTTGATTTGATCTTCATATTTTTTCAGCGAAAAACTCAAAGTTTTTAAAAATTTCGTCAAAAAAGCGTGTATTTCACCCTAGCGCTCACAGTTTTTTACCTAAAGAGTTGAAAATTGGTACACTTATGTATTTTCACGTGTAGATTACAGGAAAAATATACACGGAGAGAAATTTATAGTAGTGGGTAACATAATTGTGGTTAGGGTGACCATCTTTAATGCTACGTATACAGACAGCTATCTAGATAGTCACCGTTACCATCAATATCATCAGGAGTAACATCTTGGTAGTAAGGGGTAGCATAACTATATTTTTTTTAGCATCTGTGATGGTTGGCAGTAGCATAATGATAGTATCGTGTAACATCATCTTTTTAACATCAAAATCTGACTATCCATTTCTCTCAGTGTAGCGGAAATGATTAAAATTGATCTTCATAGTGTTCTAAGCGACACAATTCTTAATTTAGTGGACTGGCATTAGGCATTTTTATTTATTTTCACGTGCAGATCTTATAAAAAATACAGTGAAAAGAATTGGAGTTCTTAAAGAATTATTTATAAAATAAATTATTTGAATTAAAATTAGTTTTAACTAAGGGTACGGAACCCTCGGTTATAGTACGAGTCTACTCGCACTTGTCCGGTTTTTTAGATTTAATATAGTGATAAGTAAAATTAATCAAATTAAACATGTAAATAGTGAATTTTAAAAGGTTTTTTGCGAGATAAAAGCTGGTGATGAAAAAAAATTGTTTTCTTTCAATTTGACTTTGAAATTCAAGGTCAAATTCTTAATTTCAATATATCTCAAAAACGGTTTTTTATTTTTTTTTCTTACCTATCCCAATGGAAAACTTACCTTTTTTCCTATGAGATACATTGAAATTATGAATTTGACCTTGAATTTCAAGGTCAAATTGAAAGAAGACAATTTTTTTCATCACCCTTTAAAAATAACTATTTACATGTTTAATTTGATTAATTTTACTTATCAATATATTAAATCTAAAAAATATTTTTTCAAAAAAGTCAAAATTTTGAAACTCCGAAACTCAAATAATTAAAATTTTTCAAAAATCTAAGTTCTTTAAAATTTTTAATTAAATTTAATTAATTGTGAAATATTGAAGTAAAATTATTCATTAAATAATTTCTAAGTAATAATTTTATGATAATTAAGGGCGTGTATCGGATAACTGCATGTAGCGCATGGTTGAAAAGGACTATACCAGTCAGACAGCAGTGAGAGGCCTAGAGGCGCTCACTGTTGTCTGACTGGTATAGTCCCTTTCGGCCATGCGCTACATGCAGTTATCCGATACACGCCCTTAATTGTTTAATAATTAAGTTATAAAAAAAAATTATTGTCAGAAATAGAAAAATTTGAAGGTTTTATATTAGAATTCGAAACAAAAAAGACTCAATAATTCAGAAATTCTTATGAATTTTAGAAATTAAATTTTTTCAGCACTTTTAATAAAAATCCCTGACTATTCCCTTAATTCCCTGACCTGCAGAAACTCTGTTGAATGCTTAAAATTTGTTGGTGAGATTGGCCCTAAGATTGTAGGGGAGTTTGGGGAATTGTGGGCCACACTTTTTTTTAGCTCAATATCTTACACACAAAATTTTTTTTTTAATTTTCAAATTTTTCGTGTCAGCAGGAGGTATAAACTAACATATATCATAGTCAGTTTCCCAAAATTATCACTTAGGGGAGTGTAAGGTATGGTGGCGGACACTTTTTTTGCGTCTCTCTCTCTCTCTCAAAAAACAATATTTTTTTAAATTTCAAAAGCAGGCAGTTGCTGACATCTATTAAGCATATTTCTGTCAGAAGCGGCTGTTAAAATTTAAATGCAGTGAAATTTTACAGCTCTTGGCGCAAAAAACTGATTTTTTTTATTTTTGAAAGTTGTAAGGTATGGTGGCGGATTTGGTGTATTCAACTAAAACATTATGTAGATGTTAGAATCATTTATTAAAACTACTAGAAATGATGAAAAATAACAAAAAGAGAAAAAACTGATGATTTTACATTATAGAAAAAAGTTTCACTTCAGTTATGGTTACAATTTGGACATGTGAAGTAGCTGGTGACTGTTTTAACGCAACTAGAATAAGAGAAGACCGCAAGTGTCACATATTCGAGAATTGTTGCGTTGGAGCACAAGAGGCATTAGTACACAAAAAATGCAAAGACAATTGAAACTCGTGCAAAAAATGATCCGCCACTGTACGTTAAAAAAATTGCGCCATCATACCTTACAAGCTATTGATGAAAATATGATGGTGTTACTTTCATATACTGCAAAAAAAGGGAGTTAAATTTTAACTCCCCCGGGGGGTCTATAAAAGTCGCACCCATTGGGGAGTTAATGCCAGGAGAGTTAAATAAAGAGAGTTAACATTTCACACCCAAATGCTAACTCCCTAAGGAAAAAATAACTCGCGCGGGTGTTGAATGAAGGGAGTTAGAAATTAACTCTCTTTTGGAGTTGATTTTTAACTCGAAAAATTTCACTCCCAACTCCCGAGTCCGTTAACTCCCTAAATTTTTTACAGTGTACAGCGCGAATTGAGAAAAATGTAAAATACAAAAAACTGTTGTCCAAGGTCTAAACAATACGTTCCATACATTTACCAGACTCAATTTTCAAAAAATCTTCACTCTGGCACTGTTATCACACTTATCGAATAAAACTTTTTATTTTTTTTCACTACTTTTTATTCAAAATCACTTAGAGTACAAAGCACGCGTTTGATCATTAATACTACTGCATATAAAATGTCATCACGATAAAATACATCGACCATAGTGATAAGGCGCTTCAGATGTGACGTTACATGCCAGATTTGACAAGTCCGCCACCATACCTTACACGCCACGATACCTTATATTCCCCTACCTTAAAGAAATTTCAGTTTTACCAAAGAGTGCAATTTTATGATTTTTAAAAATGTTGGGGCATTGTAGGCCACTGCCTAAATTGAGTTCAAAATAAAAAATAACGATGAAATATATTTATTGCATGGTTAGAAATATTAAAAATGTTTAAAATGTTTAATTATTAGTTTAAAATTCGAAAAGAAAAAGTAAGAAAATAAAATTAATCGGAATCACAATTAATTAATTACAAATTTTTAATTAAACAGCTTTATCGCATGAATCGCAATGAAACGAATTGTTTTTGTTAAATTACTATAACTATGAGTAATTTTAATAATATTTGCAATTAAATCGCCAAAAACAACAATAAATACTACCCCTAAAAAAGTGTCCCACAATTCCCCAAATGCTTCATTTTACAAAAAGCTTTGTATTATTTATTCATTTTAATTTGATGCAAAGTTTTTTTTGAGTCAAAGTACTAATCCCACACAATAATTAAAAAAATATTTTTCATAATTTATTCTTGAAAATCCTTGTAAAAACAATAAAAACATTAAGGTCCAAAATAAATATTTGAATGCAACTTTTCAGGTGATTTTTGTTTACGGTTTATAGGTAATTATAAAGTTGTAAAGTAATGAAAAATGTAAAGTAAATGAATGTAAAGTAATGTAAATGTAATGTAATGTAATGTAATGTAATGCATTTAAGGGGCATTACCCTAGTATTTAAGGGGCACAACTAATGTGAGTGACTGAAAAAACGGTGATTTTTATGAATTTTTTTCAGGGAAATTATTGCATCTATTTTTTTAAAGTTTTGTACATGTATATTTCTATAAATAGTGAACATTTTGTAATTTTTTTAAAGAAAAATATCTTTTTTTTAAAGAGTTATTCTCCATCTCCTGAGTATCAAAAAAAAAAAGTTCTTCTACTGCTGCAGTGATTGCGGCCTTCTCAGTGACTGAAAACAAAAAAACCAAAAAGATTATTAAACTAGAAGATATTTACCGTACAATGACCCTCGGATTTTAAAAAATATTGAATTGCAACAAAATGGCGGAGTTTTGAAAAAAGCTTTTCAATTTCGCCAAAAAAATCCGATGGTTCTTGGCATCCAAAAATTTTATTTTTCATCCAATCAAAAAACTGGAGCCTCATTGTACGGCAAATATCTTCTAGTTTAATAATCTTTTTTGTTTTTTGATTTCAGTCACTGAGAAGGCCGCAATCACTGCAGCAGTGGGAGAACTTTTTTTTTGACATTCAGGAGATAGAGAATAACTCTTTAAAAAAAGATATTTTTCTTTGAAAAAATTACAAAATGTTCACTATTTATAGAAATATACATGTACAAAACTTTAAAAAAAATAGATGCAATAATTTCCCTGAAAAAAATTCCTAAAAATCACCGTTTTTTTCAGTCACTCACGCTAGTTGTGCCCCTTAAGACGAATTATTATACTGTGTTTTTAAATGTGGCATGTTCGATAATTAACAATTTTTTAACAACAATAAAAGAGGGTTAAAATATGACAGAAAATGTAAATTTGCTATCAAAGAAAATACAACCCAACCCTTAGTCATGGAATCAATAATGTTTACCGTAGAATAGGATTGATTTCTGCTTGATTGGTTGATTGGTGGTGCAGGCGAAGCAGCTCCATGAGTAGTTGTATCCACAGGACTGTTGGACCTCTGACTATTCCCAGGACTGTGAGTCGTGGTATCCGGAGGTGATCCCTGCCTCATCATAGCCGACTGCGCAACATTCGCCTGATTACCGGCCGTCTGGGTCGAAACTGAATGCCTCGCCATCAATGGACAAATTTGCCCCTGTCCGGATTTCTCCAAAACAGTCGTACTACTACTGGCAAGAACAAATTGTTGTTGTTGCTGCTGTTGTTGATGTTGCTGCTGTTGCTCGAGTCCTTGATCCGAAGATGGAGAATTAACAGTACTTTTCGGTGATGGCGACTTCCCTTGTATCATTCCACTCAGAATATACTGATTGTGATCAAGATTCATAGTCTGATCGACACTATTTCCATTCCCCGAGGCTGTTGACTGAAAACTTGGCATTTGATTATTAGACACCATTGTCGTCTGCTGTTGTACAATGGTCGTATTTTGCTGCACAAACGTAGTGTTCTGTTGATTCGGCGCAGAGGAAACGGCGATATTTTGCGTTGTACCACATGGTACCATTAGGGTTTGTCCATTCATTTGAATGAATTTCTGTTGACCTGGAATGTTCTGCGGACGAACCTGAGCAGTGTTGAAGGTTACTTGTTGATTTGGACTCACGTTCGCCAGTATTGGACTCAATTGATTGTTGAACGATGTGGTGCCATTGACGAGAAATTGACCACTGTTTGGCGAGAGGAACTGAGCACCGGGACTGTGTTGCTGAATAATCTTCCCACCGGTTGCTTGTCCAGCCCTAATCACCATACCCGCTGGTCCAGCAGCTAGGATACTTTGACTAGGACTAAAAAGACCGCCATGACTCTGTACCGGCGTGAGGACATTCTGACCATTGACATTCTGAATTTGTAGTTGCATTCCCATGTTACCGGTGTCTTGTAAGAGGGTCGCTGTTCCATCGGCTGACATGACCATACTTCCTAAACCGGGTACAATGTATTGCTGAATTGTAGGGAAGTTTTGCACCATGCCGGTTGTGCCGTTTAGCAAATTCACTGGTTGTAGGAGGTTTATCTGTTGTGTTGGATGCGGATTTGTTATTAACTGTTGGGTGTTAAATTGGGAAGTGGCTCCGGTTTGGCCGTTCATTACCAGCTGGGCTGGCGCTCCGCCTTTTCCGGGTACAATGGTCAGTGCTTGTAGCATCGGTCCACCTAGACTCTGAGTTTGGAAGTTCTGTTGAGCAAAATTCGATTGCGATTGCATCAACATACCGGCATTTTGCTGTGAGGAAGCAATGTGCAACATGGATGCAACCGTTTGGGAATTGCTCTTGCGTTTCTTGTAGGATTTTTTCTTAGTGATTCCTGATTCGGGGGAGAGTAGGGAATTTTGGCGATTTACGTTTCTTACTTCTTGATTGGCGTCGATAATTGATTGGGCATTTTGGAGAACGTTGCCGGTGGCGACGGCTAAGTGGGGAATTTGGACATTTTGATTGATGCCGTCCATAGTCATCACGCCCGGTTGTATGAGAACTGGGGTCTGTATTGTTGTGTTGACAAGAACGGTTGGTTGACCAATTACCTGTTGAGCGACACCAACCGCTGGGATTACTTGACTGACAGCGCCGGTGACGTTGGTCACCATTGGCGAAACGGACAATGGTGGCATGGCACTTGAGTTAGAAATGATTTTTGGAGGTGGTGGCGCCATTACGCCGCCAATTCCCGAACCATTGCTAGCCATTATTAGTTGTCCGCCACTCGAGACTAAAATGTGTCCCGGAGGTAGTGTCGAACCCACCGAGTGTTTCAAAATTCCTCCAGATGTTAGCACGTTATGAACTTGAACATTTTGTTGTTGGTTCTGCTGATGATGGTGATTCTGCTGGTTCTGATGTTGGTTCGAATGATGGTTAGGATGTAGGTTCGGATGTTGGTTCGAATGTTGGTTCGGATGTTGGTTCTGATTTTGATGTTGGTTTTGATTCTGATGTTGGTTCTGGTGTATAGAAGCGCTCGCTTGGGGTACTTGAATACTACTAACGACACTCTGCACCATTTCCAAGGGAGATTTAGAAACGGTCATTGGTGGTTGACTATGGACTATTGGCATCGTGCTTTGATAAAGAGCCGCCGATGTGTATGGCACATTGACCGGTTGCGGCGTCTGTTGTGTGGTCTTTCCAGAGAGAATATTTGGTATCGCCGGATTAGGAATTCCAGATGGTGTATTAACGGAGACTGTCGCCGTGTTTGCTCGGCCGGCCAGAACCGAGGTAATTGTGTTACTACTGACAGTGTGTCCACTGGCCATTGTGGTAATCACAGATGAAGCGTTGTAGTTCAACCTAGGTCCGGAATTAACAGTATGCGGATGGGGATGATAGCCCTCGAGAACGTGCCTGGTAGTCTTTTTTGGCGCCTCCAAAACGGAACTGTAAGTGGAAGATTGGTACATATTTGGAGAAGCGTCGTTCGTTTGACACGGAGTTGCGGGAGATCGATTTTCGGAGTAAACGGAGGACTGAGATGGCTGTTGTCCAGGAACGATTGAAGGGGATTGAGGAGTCAATTGAGGGGTTAAGGATTGCGGCACATGGGTCGGCAGAGAGTGAGGTGTGGGAGGTTGGGAGTAACTACGGGGAGTTGACGGTTGAGAGGATATCAGACTCTGTGGAGTTTCAGGTTGGGAAATGCAGGAGGTTAAAGAAGTCGGTGTCTCGGGACTGTTGGTTCCAATCGGTGATCCGTGACTCGTGCTCACGGTTCCCCCTTGAATCGGCCTTGAGTCAGTTTGCTGATTTGAGAATCTCTCGCTAAAGGTTGAGGAAATTACCGGATCTTCGCATTGATCGGAATGTAGCATGTACTGCCGATTTTGGTATTTGTACAGGTCCTGCGATGATTGTGCATCGCCGCTCGATACGCAGCGTTGGGACGAGTCGGAATCACTGGTGTTACTACCCGAATTGGGTGTCATGCTGCTGTGCACCACAACCGGCGATGTGGGATTGTTCTTCATCGAGCTGTACACACGGGAGGAATAATTGTTGTCGTACATGTCGCAGCATCTCGAACTGGTGGGACTTGTGATTGAGGAAGGCTTTGGTTGTGGAAGATAAGCATGAGAATTAGACGTCGTTTGGGGTAATTTCGAATTGTGGACCGTGACCTGCGAACTACTGACGCCAGTCTGTCGGGATATTGTGCTATTTAGGAGAGCGGTCTGCTGAGCTAGATAACCACTTGGATCGTCCAAGAAGGATGGTCCACTTGTGTTGACCGTGGAGCCGATTTGATTCCCAGTCTGTTTCTCCGCGAACTCATCGCCCGAACTTGGAGTGGAATGGTCCAAAACCATATTTCGGAAACGAACAGGCCCTCCCGGATAAAGTGGTCCCATATTTCCTAGTTTCCTCTTCTTTTTCTTGCTAAAGCCATCTGAAAAAAAGATTTAAAAAAGTTATTCAATTGAAACAATTTAGAAAACGTTAATTAAAAAAACTTTCGGTAGGTTTTTAATAGGGGTCTTTTATATGTGAGTACGAAGTAGATAATTATTCTCCAAACGCGGGGAGACAAGATAACTCAAGACACTAATGAATCCCTCCGTTAGTACCATATAAAAGTCCTTTACTTTCCTGGCTTCCGATGCCATGAACTGCAGGGCTTTTAAAGGGGAATTGTCATCATTCCATACTCTGGCGTCCATTACGGATCATTAAAGTACAGAAACGTAAACCGATTCTAGATTTATTGAAATGTTTCTCCTCTCCCTAGTTCCTTTAAATGAAACGTTTCTAGAAAATTAATGTGTCCCGTTTATAAAATTGCTAAATTGCGATCTTTGGTAAAACATCTTCATTCAATTTCATTTACCATTCCACTCTTGTAGGATCCATTCATCATCAGGGATGTAATCATATGAAAATTAGAGGTTTGTGGGAGATGGTCAGATGGGAAAGATTAGTTAAGTTTTCGCAAACTTATTCTTCTAAATCTCGATAAAATTCTTATAATGTTTGATTGTAGTTGAAATGCATAAAAGAAAAGATTTTTCTTTCCTTTTTTAAATGAATCGTAAAATTTGAATAAGGCATTCCAAGTTGAAAATGTTGAGAAAATGTTCCTTTGAGAATGTCAGTGCGTTGACTGAGAGTTGAAAGAGGAGGAGGAGGAATGTGGTACGCAGTCGCTGAAAGCGCGCGCAGGAATCAAAATCGGACACAGCGGGAGGATAATCCCTCTTTCTCCTTGCAGCCTTTCTTCATAGGGTTCAACGGTGCTCATATCCTTGTATGAAATTAACCCTTATCAACGTATCTTCTCCTCTCAAACCGCCTTCAGCACCACTACCACCACCACCAGCGTCGTCTCCTTTACTATTCGCGGTGAGGTAGCGAATAGTGAGTGGATTCTTTCCTCCTCCCAGGACTTATTGATCGTCAGGACGATAAGAAGACACGAGCCGACCGATTGGTCTCCTTCTTTGCTGCCAAGGGGGGAATGAAACACCATCGAGTATGTATGTGTGTGTATATGCGCGCACGGAAATTCCCTTACCAAGATGATATTATCCTAGGTTTGTTCTTACAACCCATCTTCGATAAAATAAAGCACCTCGAGGATAAATAGCTCCTCTTTTAAATATACTCGATAAATTCTGAAATGATTTTTGATTTTATAGCCTTTAATTCTCCTTTAGATTAAATTCCCTTTCCTAAAATTAATGTTTGGCGTTGGGTTTCTTTATCCTCGATATGAGGGTTTTTCTGGAAATTAAGTATGGTCTCATTGTGACCTCGATGATGAAATTCAGAATTAAGTATAGAAAAAAATTGTGTACCTATGTAGACAATTTCTTTTCTACATGAAGAAATTGTAACTAGAAATATAAATTTTCTGGACAAAAAAGAGTACTTTTTGGAGTATATTTTTTAATGGGTGTGTATAAAAAGGGGTAAACAGAGGAATCTTAAGAAAATGGTTGTGAATTACAATTGAGGCGATGGCGCAGGAGAGTCACGACATTGTCGACGCGAGTGCATATAGGTATATCCTTAAACGGTCTTGCGCACCATGTTTCCTCCTTCACCTCTTCGCCTCCTCGTCTCTCTCTTTCTTTCAAGTGATTGATCGCGAAAGTCACGACTGCGGGTGCATCTACTTGAAATGGTCTTATTGCTAGAATGTAATCTTAGAAATACAATACAAGAGACTCCATTTCATTTGATGGGAAAAATTTTTCTCATACATTCGACGGTTAATTATCTTCTATATTATATGTATGAAAAGAAAATTCTTTTCATGATGATGGAAAAAAGTCTTATTGATGATTTGAAAGGTGAACTGGAAGGAAAAATCAATTGGTTAGTGGAGAAATGTGAGAAAGGGGGAAGTAGGTTTATATATTATATAGTTTAACGGATCCAAAGAAAAAAGGGTCGTTGGCGACGCCACCACCACAAGAGCCGTTGCTAATACCGCAATCTCGTCGTTTTTCTTTCCAAGCGAATTTTTTTTCCCTAATGATTACGCTTATATTTTTCCTCCCCTATTTTCTCTCTCATCTCTCTCCGAAAATTCTCGAGTATTTTTGGTCTTTCTCCAAAAGGAAAAGTTGGCTCACGTATCAAGAATAAATGTCCCGACCATTATACGCTTTCTCAGATTTAGGAAAAGTTTGGTAATACTTTCTAGATCTAAAATTTTAGTAGCGATAAGTAGAAAAGTGTTTTGTTTTCTTTTTTTTGACGGGGGAAACGGTTTGCCAATCGAGATGAGTTTTGCCGATATTTGACAATTGTGAGCAACAGTTTTCTTTTATTGAACAATTCAGAATTTTGAAACTTTTGTTGGGCATGTCCATTCGACATTTTCTAGAGTGGACGTCTCTCCAGTGTTTTTCAAACTTTATCCTCCGAGGAGTTGAGGAGCCAAGAATATATTGAAAAGGTGAAGATGTTTACAATTTTCGATACAACTGCCAAGTTTTGTTATTTTAGGAGGAAAATGGATTGAGGCGCATGATTATTCCCCAAATGTCATTTGACCGAACTGTCATTTTACCGAATTGCATTTATCCGAACTGTTATTTTAACGAAATGTCACTTTTACGAATCGCCATTTTTACGAATTGTCACTTTTGCGAAAAGTTATTTTTTCGAATTGTCATTTTTGCGAATTGTCATTTATGCGAACTGCCATTTTTTCGAATTGTCATTTTGCATATATGACAATTCGAAGAAATGACTTTTCGCAAAAGTGACAATTCGTAAAAATGGCGATTCGCAAAAGTGACATTTCGTTAAAATAACAGTTCGGATAAATGCAATTCGGTAAAATGAAATGGTGAAAATCGGTTAATGATAGCATATTGTGTGAATTAATCTAATCCATCTTTCCCCTCCATCGAGTGGAAGGTGCTTTTGTTGACTTTTGTGCTATTTACGAGCTTCGAAGCGTGGCTTTTTGAGTAAAGGTTAACGTTTTGCTTAATTGACTTGTACCATCATCTTCCTTTTCCCTCTCATTTCAAGTCACAGAGCAATTCAAACTCATTCGAGCAACCTCCTTTTTCCTTTTTCTCTTCTTCTCTTTGGGGCTCCACTTCCCGACGACGACGAATACTACTACTACTACTACCTATTCATCATCTATAATTCTAACTGCGGGGTAACGAAGAAAAATAAGAGGAGCAAAAGGATATTAAATTTCCGTGAGAGCAGTATTAAACTTTCATCGCTTCGTAACGTTATTACTGGGGTCGACGGAGAAGCCCCAACACTTTTAGCAGAGTTTCATCGCCGTCGCCGTTGTAGTCGTCTCTTTTTCTTATCTTTACTCTCCTTTCAACGTAGTACTTTTCCACCTAAACCATTGCATGGTGTGGCGAATAAGAAAACTCGAGTCCTTCCTTCCAGCGTCTTGAAACGCTTTATATATGCGATTACAGCAAAACTGTGAAATTAAAGCCCACGATCTTTCTTGACTTATCGGATAAACAATTAAGACAAGTTTTCTCTTATTATGGCTACAATTCATTTACTCCGCAAAGTGAAATTTTATTTCAAACTTTCTTTTTTTTCACGATTAAAAATTATAATAAAAATTTTTCAATACAATTGAATTCTCAAAAGTAACAGTTTAATAAAAAACGAATCCAACTATTGCTTTGCAACACTGTTGATTCGTTTTTTGTCTCAATTTTGTTATCCTTAGAGAAACTGTACATTCAAAAGTTGTCAAACGATTGTAAAGTTTCGATATTATTTTTGAACTAGATCCGAGAAGTGTGATAGTGAAACTGAAATTACCTGATTTCGTTTTATCCGTCGAAGTTGGAGCATCGTCGGTAGCGTGAACATGTCCAGCTGGTGCCGTCGATGATGAGACAATTGGTGTTGTTGACGCAACAGGACTAGCTGCAGTTGCTGGCATTAAAAGTTTCCTCTTGTGGTTACAGAGTTTCGTCATTTCTCGAACTTTGCCCTGATTTGGGCTCCAAGGTCGTGTCGCCACCTGAAAAAGAAACAAAATATTCTCTAATTAGTACCTCCGTTATTTGAGAAATACAATCAGGGTTGCCCAAAAAAATTAAATTTTGTTTTTCCCTGATTTCCAGACAAAATTTTCATTTTTTCCCTGATTCTAAAGAATATTCTGATTAACTCTAAAAATTATTTGATACTCGAAAAAATGTTCTATTACATTTATTTACAAATTTCTTTAATTGTAAAATTATTCAAAAACATCAATAACTTCATTTTTAAATAAATAATTAATCATTGTTATTTTTTCATAGAAATTAAGATTTTCAAAAATTTCGAATTCAAACTTTTTGAAATTCAACAACTTATAAAAATATTATTTTAGAACATGAAGGAATTGACCACTCCGAGTCTTCTACTCGGAGTTTTATAATAATTAAAGATCATTTCAATTCAATGATTATTTTCTACAATTTTTAACTAAAATTCTTCTTTAAATCAATTATTTTTAATAATTTTTGAAAAAGTTCCTCTTCGAGAATTTTTAAATCCATTTGTTTACAATTTAATTTTACGTGAAATATAAATTATTCAATTAAATATACATTTGAAAATAAAAACTTGAAATAATTAAAAAAAATTTCGATTAACCTTTTTGAAAAAAATTAGTTCCATCGAATTTTTAATTAAAAACATGGAAAATTCAGATTTTCAAAGTTTTTTATTTGAAACCTTTACAAAATTCAATTATTTCTGAAAATTGAAATTATTAGTAACGGTTGGGGTATACCTACAGTTTTTCAAAAATATATTTTCTAGATTTTTATCTTCGAAAACATTTTTTTCTAATAAAGGTGTATTTCTAAAAAACTTTTTTCTAATGAAGGTGATTTTCTAATTATCTTTCTTCTAATAAAGGTCATTTTCCAAAAAGTTATTTTTCTTATAAAAGTAGGGTGATGGCACCAGTGAAAGAACATTTAAGGAAATGTATATACTTACTTTTAATTGACATTCTTGAATTTCGTTTTAAACATATATGCCATTGCATATGTTATAAAAATAAATAAATTAAATAAATTAAATTTTGCTAATTTAATAGCAAAATTTCTAAAGAATTTTTTTTAATGAAATATTAAAAAATGTCCATTTTACCGCAGTGAAAGAACGTTGACCAGTAAAAGAACAGTCGCATTTTCCAGTGAAAGGGCATATCAAATTTATATTAATACAGTGTCTAAAAATAGCAAAAACTATATGAGAAACGTTACAAATATTCTGAAACAATTTTGCAACTTACTATTATCTATATTTTCCTTATTACGCACACAGAAATATTATTTAATTGCACCTGAAACTTGTAACCTTTTTTCTGTTTATGCTTTGTTTATTTGTCATGTTCATAACCCACCAAAAAATTATTTTCAGAAATAACTTGCATATTGAATCTAATTTTTTATTATAAACTATATTGTGAAGAAATAAGGAACTAAAAAATATCTTTTTTATAGTGCTAAAAGTTATGATTTGTAAAATATCGTGATAAATAATCAATTTGCTCTTTTACTGGTGTCCATTCTTTCACTGGTGCAACTAACCTAATTTTCAATTTTTTTTCTAACAATATTCAATTCTTGTAATCACGATCAATAATAAATATATAATAAAAAAATAAAATTTATGAAAATTTTTTAATTCTTAAAAAAATACTTGAGATTTCGTTAAAAAATTGTAAAAAAAAATATAAATTATGCATAGTTTTTAACAAAATTTTTAAATAATCTAGTTAAAAATCGTAATTAACAAATAGAAATTATAATTATAATTTTTTTTAGACAATAAGGATTAGAAAATATTTTTTAGGAAAAGTGACAACGATCATTAGTAACTTCTCGAAAATTCAATTATCATCTAAAACTTAATCTAAAATGCATTTTTAAATCAATTTTTATTAGAAAATTCTACGAGAATTCAATTATTTAATCTACAAACATATATAATTTATTGAATATTTAAATGTTTCTTAAAATTGAATTCTCAAAAAAAATTGTATCAACAAACTTTTAAATAATTGGATTCTTTCGACGAATTTTAATAAACCTCTCAAGAACAATTACATTTTTCAATGGATTCGATTAAAACACCGTCCGACACGATTTTTCACACACAAAAAAATCAAATATTTTTGGAAACTAGGACCAAAAAAAAAATACCTGTGTCTGGCCGTTTTGCTGGATCAAGTCGTTTGTGGCTTCTAGGGGTGAAAACAACCCTTAAATGAAAAGTGACAAGTAATAATTTAAAAATAGATTCAATTTGCCTAAAACTCGTTACTCGGGGGTTTTTGGGGTCGCAGATCACGAATCCGATGTCGGTTTTTTAAAATTAAAAATGGCGGATCCAATATGGCGGCTGTCAAAATAAAAAATTGATCGGATTCGCTTGAAACTTGTTACTCGGAGGTTTTTGGGGTCGCTGATCACGAATCCGATGTCAGTTTTTCAAAATTCAAAATGGCGGATCCAATATGGCGGACATATTTTTTAAAAAATGATTTAATTTGCCTGAAACTCGTTGCCTGGGGGTTTTTGGGGTCGCTGATTACGAATCTCATGTCAGTTTTTCAAAATTCAAAATGGCGGATCCAATATGGCGGACATCTTTTTTAAAAAATGATTTAATTTGCCTGAAACTCGTTGCTTGGGGGTTTTTGGGGTCGCTGATTACGAATATGATATTAGATTTTTGAAATTCAAAGTAACGGATCTTATAAAGATGAAGATTACAAAAAATTTCAATATTTTTACAAATGTGTCTTTGCATATTGGACATTTTTTTAATGACAAAGCTAACTTTGTGGTAAGTAAATTTATTCGATAATAGGAAGCGTAAGTAAGATGAATTATTAAATATAAAGTGATTGTTTAACAATGCTTCTAAAGTGAAAATATCAACTATTGACATTTGTTTAAAAATCGTTTAAAATCAATTAAGAATATTTAATTGCAAAAAACAAAAAAGAATCACACAATTAAATTTTCCAGTTTCATTCTAGATCTGTAATCTACATTTTGATCCTACATTTTTAATTTTGAAAATCTGACTTAAGATTCTTAATCAGCGATCCCAAAAACCCCCTGAATAACAAGTTTCAGGGAAATTAAATCTATTTTTAAAAATGTTGACAGCCATATTGGATCCGACATTCTGAATTTTGAAAAACTGACATCGGATTCGTGATTTGCGACCCCAAAAACCCCCGAGTAACAAGTTTCAAGCGAATCCGATCAATTTTTTATTTTGACAGCCGCCATATTGGATCCGCCATTTAAAATTTTAAAAAACCGACATCGGATTCGTGATTAGCGACCCCAAAAACCCCCGAGTAACAAGTTTCAAGCGAATCCGATCAATTTTTTATTTTGACAGCCGCCATATTAGATCCGCCATTTAAAATTTAAAAAAACCGACATCGGATTCGTGATCAGCGACCCCAAAAACCCCCGAGTAACAAGTTTCAAGCGAATCCGATCAATTTTTTATTTTGACAGCCGCCATATTGGATCCGCCATTTTTAATTTTAAAAAACCGACATCGGATTCGTGATCTGCGACCTCAAAAACCCCTGAGTAACGAGTTTTAGGCAAATTGAATCTATTTTTATAATATAACTTGTCACTTTTCATTTAAGGGTTGTTTTCACCCCTAAAAGCCACAAACGACTTGATCCAGCAAAACGGCCAAACACGGGTATTTTTTTTTGGTCCTAGTTTCCGAAAATGTTTGATTTTTTTGTGTGTGAAAAAAAAGTTAAATTTTGTCGGACGGTGAAATTGTATTAAAAATAATTGAAATTCTGCAATGAGTTTTATTGGGGTCACTTGGGGTATATATATATATATATATATATATATATATATATAGAAACATATTTGCTAAGTTTCACCAATAACATAAGTTTTTTCTTTTAAATCGGAATACTTTCGGATTTTCTGTGTATTGAGTTATTATTTCACTTCCGTGGAAGAATTTTATGGGGTAGTAGAAAATGTGGATATCATTAAATCGCAATAATAAACTGTTTCTATTTACCCCGAATTTACAGTTTTTAGGGGTAAATAGAAACAGTCTCCTATTTTTAATTAAAGTTTGCAAAATGAAAAAAAATCAGTCAGAGAAGCAGGCGCAATGCGCCTACATCATAGGGTTTCGTGGCCTAAAATGACAAAAAAATAAATAAATAATAATTTATTTAGAAATTTTTTTGTACTTAATGATAAATCGTCCAAGCGCCCATCCTGCCGGAAGGACGTTCCGAAAAAAAGGCTTTTAAAAAAAGGGAATTCAAATTTTCTTTTCTGGCACTCTTTGGGATTAAAGTAGACGAAAAGACGAAAAAATACATATTTTTGACTTTTTAAAATAATAATATTAAACCATTTTTCAAAGCCTTCAAACTTACTATGTTTCTAAATAGTGAAAAAATCATTTTTTCGTAAATTTAATGTAAAATCCCCAAAAATCAATATTTTTTGACCGGACAAGTCACTTTCTCTTCAGAAACGTTTAAAGAATGAAACCTAATTGTTCAATTAAAAAAAATTCATTTTTAATATTTTTCAGTATATCTGAGTAATACTCAGGCGCGAGTTCCTTCGAAATTGCTCTATAAAATTGATATGGAAGCAGATAAATATAAAACTAAATATATCGTTGGAAAGGGAATGAAACAAGCTTTCAAATGATGTAAATATCGAGTCTTTAAATTTATAAACCTGGGCTAGGTAGTCTCTTGAATAAAGCGAAAAGCGTCCTGCCGGCAGGACCGGGCTTCGTCATTCTGTGACTAAAAATTATGTGAATTTTTGGAACATGTAACTTCTTCAAACTACCCAGCCCTTAGTTTTGAACTTACAAGCTCGATATTTATATGCGCTGAAAGCTTGTTTCGTTACCTTTCCAATGATATATATCATTTTTTATTTATCTGAATCCATGTTAGTTTTCTTTAGTGATTTCGGAGGGACTCAC